GTCGGAAGGGTCAGGGAAGCAGCTTGGTCTGGACCCAATGAAGCGGGGGCTACAGAGACCAGCCTTCCATCACAGTCTGACTCGGCGGCCTGGTCGCCCTCCCCACAAGCCTGGGAAGTTGAGAGAGGGTCAGTCATCGGCATATAAACTAACAGATAAAAATTAATCCACGAATAAGCCCCCATACCCACCATGGAGCCACAATTAAAGAATAGGACACCCAAAAAGATGCTTTCATCCCCACCCCCCCACGGGTGCATCGTGGGTATACACTCCCGCAATCACTACCTTAAGAACCGTCAGTCCGTCGAGATCGGGTTCAACAATGAAGGCGAGGATTGACAATAAAAGCGTATCCTCGCTCGACAACATCAGGTACCACAGTTCTATGGGTGAGAGTGTGCTCCTCCCCAAACACCCGGGCGTCAAAACAGAAGACGACGTCTGAAAGAATAATCAAGAATGGCAAAAAAGTCGGCGGGAAATAACAGTCAGAAAGAAGAGGGGAGGGAGAGGAAAAATGAAACATAAGGAAGAGGAAACGGCATCCAGCACAATTAGTGAAGACAGCAGCAGGATCATAAGGCTACAAAAGGACAGAGGACCGTCCCATGGAGCATCACACTCCGGCGGCCGCCCACCCGCCCCTCACGACGCCCACGGGCTGGAAAGCGAGGGGTCATGCAGTGTATAATTATCTGATCATTAAGGATAACATATAGTGTCTCGGCACCTGTGTTCCTATTGTAAGGTGTCTTCAACCTTCACAATATAATTAATAATAATATAATGCATTGTGTCGGGGGACAGGCAGCCAGAGTGTATTCATACACGTTAGGCTTATATCGAGGTACAACCCCCCCCCCCTCCTCCAACCCCACAACAAGTTAAGTCCTGAGTACTACTTACTGCAAGGTGAACAAGCACATAGGGTGACAGGAAATGTGCCAAACCATTTATGTCCCGCCCGGGATTCGAACCCGGAATTCTCGATTGTGCGTCGAAGAAGAACCCGACTGTACCACCGGGATATCACTATCTTGAGGATATATTTGAGATAATATGGCATCAAGCCAAAAGGAATTATAGACCACACAGCAACACGCCCCAGAGCAATCGCCCAATACTTTATACGGGAGTGAAAGTTGCTAGAAAATGCCAAATAATTCAAAGATTACGTGTTTTTCCTCCATGCGGGAGATGTGTGTGTGTGCCTGTCATAGAGGGCCTGGACAGTCATGGGGCGGTGATGGCTCTCCACACCTTCCCTCTCAACTGTGGTCGTCACTCACACTGAAAAGACGTCTGGAATCATGCTGTTGTGACGCGTCATTGTGTTGTTCAAGACGACAGCTCCTGTGTCAGCGAGTCTGTGACAGCCTGAGAATGCTGTCGTCTTTTTCAGCGTCTCGGCGCCAGTTGGTCCTCGTCTCCTGCGTCAACGTATCGGCTCTACGACATCTGTTTCCAGCCAACGGTTATAGCTTCAGGAAAATTTCCGCCACAGGAAAACGTTTTGGCAACGTATCCATTCACCTGATGCTACTATTCTAGACAGTACCAGAGAGTGTGATAACTATTGTGTACTCCCACACTCATCCTGTGAGCGGTACTGCAAAAACATTACAGAGGGTTTTTAATATTTATCTGCACAATTTGTAATTAATTATAATAACCAGTAACAAACTTCTTGCACTGCAACTGCTATGGAAGTTGCAGTGCAGTCCATCCAGTGTGCATCACTGGATGGAAGTCACTTTGTTAATACTGAAATTATTTGATGTTACGGGGTGAGAGTCTTTAAGGTTATGGCGTTCACGGCTTCTGTTATCACATTCATATTCCTTTATCTAGAAGAGGCGCTGTCACTCAAATCATCAGCTGTAGTCATAAAAGGTTGTACATTTATGTTTGCCAGTTTACGACTGTATAATATAGATTCACATTTATATTTAGAACCTTTTTTTGACTGTTTTATAGGATTTATTACAGATGTGGCGGGAGTGAACAGGTGTACAGTCGTTGTTAACGTGTATATTTTCCAATTAGAGCGATGAGACTTGGCAAAATATAATAATTCTAATTTTATGTTATATAATATGAATATGACAATATGAAGAATTATCTTAATCTGTTTCTCTTTGTGTACCTAACTTAGACGCAAGCCGAGTTATGAAGGTTGTATGCGTGCGTTCGTGATTTGTTTCTCGGATGGGTATGGAGGCAACATACTGTGTCAGAGTAGCTTGTTATCCCTCGCTTCTCTCCGGCCCTGATTGCTAGTACTGCAGTAGCGTCTGGCAGGTGACGGTGTCGCTTGGTATGAGACGGGTGTTGAGAGAGACGTTGGAGAACCCTGGCATTATGTGGGGGTCTGTGGATCGTCTCTCATTTCCTGTCCAAGTACGGGAAGACACTTGAGGCTTGCAGAAAGGTTTTGGTCACCTCAGTAGTGAGTAACTGTAGTTGAGTATATTCGTTGTTTTGTAGAGCATCTCAGCGTGCCAGAGGTTGTCAAAGGCTGTTCTCCTTCACTAGCTGTGATTGAAGGTTTACTGTGCTTGTGGATACCATAGACAGCAGGGAAAGCATTTATGGCTGGTTCAGTAATTATAGGGAAATATACTCACATTTGTTGTGTTTTCTTAGAGTAATAGGTATTGCTCACGCCTCCATACCTCACCAGTGATTTGGGCCGGGTTCGAGTCCTGGGCAGGAAGGGTCAACTGCGGCACCGATCCTCAACTGTTCACCCTGTTCACCCAGCAGTGTTGGGAAGCTGGTTATAAGTTGCTTCACGGGGTGCAGGAGAGACTAGGATAGCGAGGCTTACCGTACTCCGCGCCAAACCCCAGCTACAAGCCTGCCAACATGAGTCAATTTGTCGTTTCCTGTTAATACCTGCGTAGTAAAAAAGTTATTTTTATTCTATCATGCAAAATGCATTTGGAACCTGTAGCACAGTAGTCCCCGCAGGCAGGTTACAACCGATAGGTCCCGATTTGATTCCCGGGAAAGAGGAGACGTTTGGATAATTTTCTTTACACATGACGGTTCGACTCGTACATAGCAGTCAATAGGTTCTGGGAAATATGTAACTGTTGTGGCTTGCATCCTGTGGAAGATCAGCCGCTGGCCTAAAGTCGCCTATCGTCCGAACAGGCTTCCTGTCCCGCGCAATAAGTGGCATTGTGTCGGAGCCATCAGTTGCGTCATTCCGTCAGACGCGCCAGGAAACTACGACTGTAATTTAACCGACCAATAACGTGCCATCACAGCCAGAGGGAACAACGAGGGTGGCAGTTCATGTTTTTAAACACTGCTTCAGACCTGCTAGAATGATATGCCTTGCCAGAATACTTTCCCCGTCCGGTCATTAGGGCCGAGGTGACGGCGTTCTCGATCGCGACCTTCCACGGCTGAGTGGCGCTTGGTGAGAAGCGCTCCAGTACCTTCCCTCCGGGGTCACACCGTCTCCAGTACCTCCATCCTCGACCACACCCCCACCAGTACCACCCTCCAGGACCACACCCCCACCAGGACCACCCTCCAGGACCACACTCCCACCAGTACCACCCTCCAGGACCACACTCCCACCAGTACCACCCTCCAGGACCACACTCCCACCAGTACCACCCTCCAGGACCACACTCCCACCAGTACCACCCTCCAGGACCACACCCCAACCAGTACCTCCCTCCAGGACCACACTCCCACCAGTACCACCCTCCAGGACCACACTCCCACCAGTACCACCCTCCAGGACCACACCCCCACCAGTACCACCCTCCAGGACCACACCCCCACCAGTACCACCCTCCAGGACCACACCCCCGCCAGTACCACCCTCCAGGACCACACCCCCGCCAGTTCCACACTCCAGGACCACACCCCCACCAGTACCACCCTCCAGGACCACACCCCCCACCAGTACCACCCTCCAGGACCACACCCCCGCCAGTACCACCCTCCAGGACCACACCCCCGCCAGTTCCACACTCCAGGACCACACCCCCACCAGTACCACCCTCCAGGACCACACCCCCCACCAGTACCACCCTCCAGGACCACACCCCCACCAGTACCACCCTCCAGGACCACACCCCCACCAGTACCACCCTCCAGGACCACACCCCCGCCAGTTCCACCCTCCAGGACCACACCCCAACCAGTACCACCCTCCAGGACCACACCCCCGCCAGTTCCACCCTCCAGGACCACCCCTTCACCCTCCAGGATCACACCTCCATAAGTCAGTCTTGGAGGGAACACAGGTGATGGGGGCGGCGGTCCCTGAACTAGCATAGAATCTCAGGATATCTAAGTGCCAAAGAGCCCGGCTGTGGTCCTCTGCAGTGTACAACAACGCAGTGATCAGTGTGTATACACTGTGGTAAGTATACTATAGGTAAGGTATGTGACACAGCACATGCTTCAGCGAGTTACTAAAGGAAACTATTATTGGTTTCCGTGCCTTAATGAGCTTCACAAAATAATAATAAACCTATTGTCAGAAGTATTGAAAACGGCCGCAATTCATAACAGCATTAAATTTGTATACATCTCCATTACAATAGTTTCAAATCCTTCTTCGTCAGTAATAAAACCGGTTTTTGAGCATCAGTTATATGTCAGTGTGTGCTTCTTATTCCAGCTCTCTTATAAATGTGTTTTCAAGTGTTTAATGTCCCAAGAATCACTTTCACTTGTATTCTTGCTCTTGAAGAGCCAGTTTAGGATTCCTCGCAGGCGTATTGCCTCAACTTTCATTGGCTGGATACTGCACTTTCTCGTAGTATGGGGCCAATGGTCTTAAGCCCACGTCCGTTCACCAAGGAAACTGGCGTCGAGCGACGGAAAAAAAAAAGCTGTAGCGACGAGAGTAGTTTTGTTTCAACCTGTCAAGCGATCGCTTAGTTACCCAAGTGAGCTAAGTGAAACTGACAGCCGAGACACTTGTGTTTACCTGTGATCGCTCTAATTTATTGCTCTGTAATTACTGCGGTCACTTTCTTCACACGGACACTCAACCCTAAACCAGTCCTTTAAGAGGTGTCGTGTGGAGGTACTGGCAGACTGTCGTCCTCGTGGGGAGGTACTGGCAGACTGTTGTCCTCGTGTGGAGGTACTGGTAGACTGTTGTCCTCGTGTGGAGGTACTGGCAGACTGTCGTCCTCGTGTGGAGGTACTGGCAGACTGTTGTCCTCGTGTGGAGGTACTGGCAGACTTGTCCTCGTGTGGAGGTACTGGCAGACTGTTGTCCTCGTGTGGAGGTACTGGCAGACTGTCGTCCTCGTGTGGAGGTACTGGCAGACTGTCGTCCTCGTGTGGAGGTACTGGCAGACTGTCGTCCTCGTGTGGAGGTACTGGCAGACTGTTGTCCTCGTGTGGAGGTACTGGCAGACTGTTGTCCTCGTGTGGAGGTACTGGCAGACTGTTGTCCTTGTGTGGAGGTACTGGCAGACTGTTGTCCTCGTGTGGAGGTACTGGCAGACTGTCGTCCTCGTGGGGAGGCACTGGGAGACTGTCGTCCTCGTGGGGAGGCACTGGGAGACTGTCGTCCTCGTGGGGAGGCACTGGGAGACTGTCGTCCTCGTGGGGAGGCACTGGGAGACTGTCGTCCTCGTGGGGAGGCACTGGGAGACTGTCGTCCTCGTGGGGAGGCACTGGGAGACTGTCGTCCTCGTGGGGAGGTACTGGCAGACTGTCGTCCTCGTGGGGAGGCACTGGGAGACTGTCGTCCTCGTGTGGAGGTACTGGCAGACTGTCGTCCTCGTGGGGAGGTACTGGCAGACTGTTGTCCTTGTGTGGAGGTACTGGCAGACTGTTGTCCTCGTGTGGAGGTACTGACAGACTGTCGTCCTCGTGGGGAGGTACTGGCAGACTGTCGCCCTCGTGTGGAGGTACTGGCAGACTGTCGTCCTCGTGGGGAGGTACTGGCAGACTGTCGTCCTCGTGGGGAGGTACTGGCAGACTGTCGTCCTCGTGGGGAGGTACTGGCAGACTGTCGTCCTTGTGGGGAGGTACTGGAAGATAAGTGGGATATGAAGATGTTGTCCTAATTCAAGCCACAACCTTGGGAAACATTAAACAATCAACTGAACTCCCTGGAAGGAAGTGTGCTGAGCTCTGTTTCACTCTCTCCACAAACAAGACAAAAGCATACTCTCATCACTAGCCGGGAGAAAATGAAGAACTACAAATTAATGGCGTCACTGTCGGCTCTAACAAGGGGAGGAAAGAGGGGCTCCACCAGTTAATAGGAACATGTAAAAGTCGACTCGGGGCACTGTGCTATGACCTTGAATGGGCATAGAGCCTCAATTATTGTTCTTAAAATGATGTACACAGCCTATGTGCGCTTCGTCATAGACTATGTCGCGCCAGTTTTGTGCACCAATTCCCAAAGCGATATGATAAAAAAAAAGCATCCAAAATGAAGCCATGACAATCATTCTTGGAGTCCCAAGAACTGCCAAAACATCAAATCTACGAGAGAGGTTGTTCCTACACAGTGTTAAAAGCAGAATTAGGGAACTGAATGCTAAGCTTGCAATTAAAATAGACAAAGATCCCCATTACAATGATAGTGCCAAAAATTCTGTACTACTTACAAAGGGAAACAGGAGAAGCAAAAAATGGCATCACAGATCAGTCTGTTACCTGGAAGAACTTCACCTGCTTGAGCAAGCCCGTGAGCTCCTGCCTGTAGAGAGGTCACCTCCCTGGGAGGATGACTCTTGCAGGATTATCATCAATGAGATGACAACGAAAAAGTTCAACATGATGCCACAAGAAATGAGGCACAGGTATCTGGAGGAATTTATTAAGAAGCCGGAAATTAATTAGATCAAATATACACTGATGGGTCGTCTAATCCTGTCAATGGCAGGGCTGGTGCAGCATACACGGTAATCAGGAATAATGCCTTTCAACTAGGAACTTCAGAAAAAGCACGTATTGAGAACTATGCCTCCAACACAAGCAGAACTAATTGCCATTGTTATGGAGTTAAGATGCCTTGAACGAAACACTAATGGTGCAGTAATCTGCACTAACTCAAAAGCAGCGCTACAAAGCCTTCGTAAAAATCGGGCAGAAAATCTTGCCATAGTCGCTGCAATCAAGAGAGCTCTGAGAGTACCAACCAATCAAGGAAGAGTCGTCAAGTTTCTGTGGATCCCCTCCCATGTTGGAATATGTGGGAATGAACGAGCAGATGTGCTGGCTGCTGAAGGAGACAACATTGAATGCTTAATACCCAAGACTGCTACAAATTAGAGGTATTATCAGGCAATATTTCAGTGACAAGGTAATTGAGGAAAGGAGGATAGAAGCACAAATCAGTGACTCTGAACGATGGTACAACATGGTTACAGCTAGCAATCCCAATCATTATGGACGAAGAGCAGGTGGCAGCGGGAGAAAATTAGTAATAGCAAGAATCCGTCTTGGATACAAATATCTATGGAGATTCGGAATGGAAACAGTTGAGCAGCGGAGTTGCAGAATCTGTGGTGAGAGTGATGGACACCACCTTGACCACTACCTGACAGTGTGTGAACAACTGAGACAGATTAGAACTATGTGTAGAATAATAAACCCCACATTGTTCTAGTTAGGAAAATACAATTCGTCAAATATATATACTGTTCTTAAAAGATTTCCCCCCATTTGCACCCGCAAGATAACGTAAGATTTTAAGGATGTAAGATTAACGTAAGATGTTCATCTTTTTATTTGAGAAGCTGTTCACTTGAGACAGCAAGTCCCAGCTGTGTCTGGGTACAAGTGACAGGATGAACAACCCAGCGGGTTTTCTTCCTATTGGGGAGTGTTGTACATGCTGCTACGGCGGTGTGTCCACTCACAGGATGAATGACGCTGCCCAATACTGTCACTATGGCGGTGTGTTCACTCACAGGATGAGTGGCGCTCCCCAATACTGTCACTATGGCGGTGTGTTCACTCACAGGATGAGTGGCGCTCCCCAATACTGTCACTATGGCGGTGTGTCCACTCATAGGATGAGTGGCGCTTCCCAATACTGTCACTATGGTGGTGTGTCCACTCACAGGATGAGTGGCGCTCCCCAATACTGTCACTATGGCGGTGTGTCCACTCACAAGGATGAGTGGCGCTGACCAATACTGTCACTATGGCGGTGTGTCCACTCACAAGGATGAGTGGCGCTGACCAATACTGTCACTATGGCGGTGTGTCCACTCACAGGATGAGTGGCGCTGCCCAATACTGTCACTATGGCGGTGTGTCCACTCACAGGATGAGTGACGCTGCCCAATACTGTCACTATGGCGGTGTGTCCACTCACAGGATGAGTGGCGCTGCCCAATACTGTCACTATGGCGGTGTGTCCACTCACAGGATGAGTGACGCTCCACAAACTCGCTCCTCGGAACAAAATTAAAAAGAAAAAAATTAACCCCATCACCTGTGGATGGGATATAAACAACCCATCATCCTCTACGATACATTGGAAAACATCTTGTTGATGGACTAGTGTTCCCAAACTGCTGCTGACAGTTAGGGAGATGAATGACCTTGCGTGACCGTGCCAGGAAAGAACAGCAGGCCCGCGTGGCTGTTGTAGAACACGGTGTTCCTCCAACAGCCACGCAGGGGAATGTATGGGAGGCACAAAAAGGTGCTGTAAGATGTGAAAGTGTTGAGAGAGCGCGGGTGTTTGATGTGCCGAGTGACACAAAGCTGAGAGGAAGTGAGACTGATGAGTGTAAGTACTCGGGGAGGGAGTGAGTGAATGTTGATGAGGGTAATACAGGAGTATTGCTAATGGTAGATGAAGGGTGGTGTGAGGAACCACTGCATCACAGTTACAAGTGTTGTGAAGAACATTACATTGTGAAATGTTCTTGTTATGTCATGACCACAGGTAAGCCTCGTGGGGTACACCTTCCCCCTATTCAATCATCGGCACTCCTGCCCTCAAGTGCATCACACTCTAAAACTCTACGGATTGAGTGCACTAGTTCAAGGGGTGAACTTAATCTACATGACACGGCGCCTCGCAGTTGAGTGGACAGCTCTTCGGATTCGTAGTCATGAAGTTCCGGGTTCGATCCCCGTTTGAGGCAGAGACAAATGGACAAAATGTTTCTTTCACCCTAATGCCCCTGTTACCTAGCAGTAAATAGGTACCTGGGAGTTAGACAGCTGTTACAGGCTGCTTCCTGGGAGGGGGGTGTATGTGAAAAAAAAGTTTGTTAGTAACAGTTGATTGATTGACAGTTGAGAGGCGGGCCGAAAGAGCAGGGCTCAACCCCCGCAAGCACAACTAGGTGAATACATCTAGGTAAATACAGTCACGTGTTTTCAAGTTGGAACATAAAATACCTCTAGGGGCCAGTGACCAGTCTGTTCTAGTCTTTGACTACATGATGGAACTCAAACTTGTGACGAAGGGACAAGAGGTCTGGGAAAGGAGAGTTGATTACAAGAAAGGGGACTACAGGAGGATAAAGGACTATCTGGGAGAAGTGCAGTGGGAGGAAGAACTTAGAGGAAAAACAGTCCAAGATATGATGGACCTAGTCACATGGAAATGCAAGAAGGCCGAAGAGAGATTTATTCCAACAGCAACGGAAAAAAGTAAGAGGGAATATAATAACCCATGGTTTAATAGACAGTGTCAGGAAGCAAAACTGAGAAGCAGGAGGGAGTGGAGGAAGTACAGAAAACAAAGGACAGAGGACAACAGGATCAGATGCAACAGAGCTAGGAATGATTACATTAACATAAGACGAACATCGGAACGAAATTATGAGAACGATATTGCGATCAAAGCGAAAAAGCAACCTAAATTACTTCACAGCCATATAAGAAGGAAGATGTCGGTAAACGACCAAGTGACAAGATTAAGGAAGACAGAAGGGGCATATACAGAAAGTGACAAGAAAATCTACGAGGCACTGAATGCCAGTTTCCATGGAGTGTTCACAACCGAGCCTGAGCAGCTCCCATTGTTAGAAGAGATTACCCTAGATGAAAGACTATCAGATATAGAGGTGACAGCAGAGGAGGTAATGAAACAGTTGACAACACTGGATGCAACTAAAGCAGTTGGACCAGACAAAGTATCACCGTGGATACTAAAAGAGGCAGCGCAGGCCCGAACTGGATAGGTTAGGTCATAACAATTCAATTGTCTGTTATAATTACACAAGAATGGAAGCCGGCGTTGCCCGGGTCTCTCTCTGAACATGCAGTATTACGTTAAGCTGACAATCGACTGAAAAACAAATTCCCTAACAAAAAAACATTTTAGGCAGTGAGTCGCTGGTGGTTGCAATGAAATTTGACACTGCCTAAAGAGGGGTCATTAGCACTGTTCGCAGCCCGCTTATGACAGTCCGCAACTACTCATTAATCACCCACCTTAGTGATTAAGTCATCTCCAGCCTTGGACAAACGTGTTATTGTATATAGGAAAAATAAACGTGAACATATCTATATTATGAGCAAGTCTGGTTTGTGTCCACAGTTGGAGGACAGAGGCTTGGTGCTAGCCCCGCTCAAATTTGTAGGGAAGGTAGTGTGGGGTACGGGACGGACATAGGCTAGTCGGGGTAGGTCTAAGTTAAATCATTTACGTAATATAGTGTGTAATTCAACACTTCCTGAGCGATTTTCATGAAGTCAAAGTAGTCCGGAATGAAAGCGGGCATGTGATGTCCGTAGAGTGTGATGTCCGTAGAGTGTGATATTAATCAGCCATTTACTCGCACAATTTCTTAATATATTTTCTGAGAGAAGGGGAAGATGGGGAAGAGAGGGTAGGAGAAGCAGAACGGAGAAGGGAACCAAAGTGGTGGGGGAGGAAAGGCGGATAAGAGACCCATGCAATTATCGCAGACCTTCTTAACAATGCATTTTCTCAGAGAGGAAAGGGGGGGCCCCTTAGGGGATGGGGACAAAGGGGAGAAGAGGGAAGAGGGGATGAATTGTGGGGTGGGAGGAGAGAGAGAGAGTCCTCCGATCACCGCCAGGTAAATCTATATCCATAATATTATAATGTTTAAA